TTCCTCCTTAAGCCATGCATGTTGTAAAAGGACACTAAAATGCCAGGAGCAAGGGGCTAGTAACCCCTTCTCCTGTACAAATTACTAAACTGAAAAAGAAAAAGTTTTGTGTTTCTTTTTGGGCCACCCTGCCTTGATGGGATACGGCCAGTTTGTTGAAAAAAAAAAAGTCTGTCCAGTATACCTGGTAAAGTGTATGGTAGAGTTATTATTGAAAGAATTAAGAGTAAGACAGAGTAGGATAGCAGATGAACAAGGAGGCCTTAGGCTGAAAGCAGTGAAGAGTTTTTATGAGAATAGTGAGGCTCAGGTTAGAGTATGTAGGAGAGAGGGAGATTATTTCCCAGTAAAAGTAGGCCTTAGACAAGGATGTGTGATGTCACCATGGTTGTTCAATATAATTACAGATGGGGTTGTAAGAGAAGTGAATGCTATGGTCTTGGCAAGAGGTGTGGACTTAAAAGATAAAGAATCAAACACAAAGTGGGAGTTGTCACAGTTGCTCTTTGCTGATGACACGGTGCTTTTGGGAGATTCTGAAGAGAAGTTGCAGAGGTTGGTGGATGAATTTGGTAGGGTATGTAAAAGAAGAATATTAACCCCTAAATGGTCCAAACATATATATACGTTCTTACGCATAGCGCCCCAGACGAACATATACATTTTAATTTTCCTGCCTCCAAATTTGGCACGAGTGGCCTGAGATGCCTGGTTAGCATAGAATGGGTCTTAACACTCAGTGTGCTCAGTATTAAAAAAATCTGGGACCACTTAGTACCTTGTGGGAGCACCAGTTAAATTGAGCCCCAGCTAGAGCATACAGTGCAGTAAACACCAAGGATTCACTGATGTAATGTCATATTAACACTCCTCTTTTAAGAGGAAAGTGATGTTAACCCCAAGTTTAGGGTCTGTCTATCTCTGTCTGTCTCTGCCTGTCTCTTTCAATGTCTCTATCTCTGTCTCACAGGTACACATAAATACAAGTATACGTAGTATAATTTACCTAGGATAACCAAAAAATCCAGACAAAGTGCTACATTCTGCTTGAAGATGTGAGTAAAGGTGATGACGCAGTCTTGTGGCTCTCTCTGAGACAGAGTGCTAGATGAATAGGCAGACAGACAGGGAACTTGACAGACAAATAGACAGAAATGTTTGTGTACCAGGGAAAACAAAGGGAAGGCGATGCTCATCAAATTTCACCTCTAACTTTTCTTATCAGCTGCATCCCCTCGTGTAGCCGAAAAAGGACCTCCAAAAATTTTTCT